CCAGCTCACGGAAGCATGCAGCACACTGCCTGTCACTTGCAATCACAAACTTGAGACACATTGTTTTTCACCCTCCGGTCCACTGGCTCACGTCTGCTGCTGATCGCCGCTGAAGAACTCCTTAGCACAGCAGAGACACAGGTAAGGCCCAGCTGCAGACATGAATAGAGAGAGAAGCCATAACTGAGAACCATGATGTGTGCTGCATGCTGCTGTGCCACAGCCAGTGGCCGGAGGCTCTGCTGCCGGCTCTGCTGCCGGCTCTGCAGCCGGCTCTCCAGCCGTAGCCCCAGCCGCCGCCACCTCCGCCTCCGCCCTCTCGAACTTGGCATCCCAGTCCAGCATCTCTTGTTTCACCTCGGCTTAATTTGCAGCACACCAAGCGCAGGAAAGAAGCACACATGCTGTGGTGCAATTACCAGGACCACGACGCAGCACAGCAACGCAGCAGCAGCAGATAGCAAACGCATGACACTAACATGGGTCGCAATGCCTCCTCGTCCCACGCCGTCATTGCCGCAGCTGTGCCCGGCGACAACGGCTCCATCGGCGAAATCGACACCGACCGCGAAGGCGATGGGGATGGCGCCTGTTCAGTCTGTTCAGGAGTCAGTCAATCAAAGAGCCACGCTTGTCGGCCACAGTCTGATCAACCTGGACACTCCCTGCCTTCCTCTTCGAGCTACTGCCCTTCGCGGCCCTCGTCGAGCCCCTTCCACCGCGTTCCTGCCAACCGTACATGTAGAATGTAGCATGTGCGGATCAAAATGTGACATGGAAGGCTTCTGTCCCGCCGTCCCGCCTGGCCGCTCTTGGCTCGTGCAGCTCTCGGCTTCTTGTCAGCGGCGTCCTAGATGATGTCAAGACAAGATTGCAAGCATTGCATCAAGAACTCAAACAAGTAAAGTTCGAAGGTTCATCCGTCGTGCCTCTGCCTTGGGCTTCGGCTTGCCCCTTCCCTTTGGCGCCGAACCCTGGCCAATCATGATGCTGACCCACGAACTCAACAACGCACCATGCGCGAGACTAACACACAACTGTCACATGAGGCACATGAGGCATGCAGGAGGCATGAGACTGTAGATGCCATGATATCCATGAGCGTTGCGCGCCTTGGGGGCCTTTTCTGCCACTGCCTTTGCACCGCTGCTGCTGTCACTGCTGCTGCTGCTGTCACTGCTGCTTGCTTTCTTCTTCGTCTCCTTCTTGGCTGCCTTGGCCTGCTCCAAAGCGAGCTGCTTGCGCATTTGCTTGCCAAAGACCCGCATGAATCGCTCGCGCTTCTCCAGGTAGTCCTTCTTGCCCTCCTCCACCAGCTTCTCGCGGCTCTGCAGATTGCGATCTTTCTCGTTCAGCTTGAGCTCCCTGTCGTTCAGCTCTCGCTCCCGCGCGTTCTGGTTCAAGTATATCTGGTGGAGGTACTCTTCTCTATCTGCAACCTTCTCGTTCCAACTGCTTCTTTGCTTGTTGAACTCCTCCTCCTTCAACGCCAGCAGGTTTTCCTTTGCGACTGCTTCGTCTCGTCGCTGCTGCTGCAGTGCGTAGATCGACTGGGCACTGGCGTACATGTCGCGGGCTGCTTGGCGTGAGGCTTCGTCAGCGAAAGAGAGGTTCTCAGGCTGCTGAAAGCTGACTGGCGCCGTGGAGGGCTTCGGAGGCTCCTCCTCCTCCTCTGACGACTCCTCCTTTGGCTTCACCAAGCGAGCCTTCCGTCCTGGCACTTCCGGAGCCTCCGACGGGGAAGCCTTCTTCCGCTTCCGCCTCTCCTGCTCCTCCTGCTTTGGCGCCTCTTCCTTTGGCGCCTCCGCCGTCTGCTGCTGCGGCTCAGCACGCGGCACCGGCACCTCCTCCGTGCGTGCCTCCTTTGCACGCGGTGCCTCCTCAGCACGCACTGCCTCCTCAGCACGCGGTGCCGGTGCCTCCTCAGCACGCGCTGCCTCAGCACGCGGTGCCTCCTCAGCACGCGGTGCCTCCTCATCACGCTGTGCCTCATCAACACGCAGTGCCTCCTCAGCACGCGGTGCCTCCTTAGCACCAGGCTCCGGCGCCTCCTCAGCACCCTGCTTCGGCTCTGCTACCCTTGAAGGTGGCCGTTCTTTGCTCGCGGAGGGCTTCGGCCTTCTTTTGGTAGGGTTGGCTGCGGGGGCTGTGGCTGGAGGCGGAGGTGGCGGCGGCGGGGCTGGCAAGACAACTGGGAAGCCGAACGGCATCATGGGGCCTGTCATGGGGCCCGGCAAAGGGGGCATCATGGGTGGCATCATGCCAAGCGGGCTGCCAAGCGGACAAACAGGTTTTGGCGGGCGAGGTGGGGGTCGGAGGTGGTGTCCACCAGGGCGGCGGCGGGACTGGCTGCTCTGCTGCCTCTGCCTCTGCCCTCTTTGGCGGCTGCCGCTCTGCTGCCTCTGTGCCGTTTTTGGCCGCTCTGCTGCCTGCTCTGCTGTCCTCTGCGGCTGCTCTGCTGCCTGCTCTGTTGCCCTCTTTGGCTGCCGCTCTGCTGCCTGCTCTGCTGTCCTCTTTGGCTGCTGCTCTGCTGCCTGCTCTGCTGCCCTCTTTGGCCGCTCTGCCGGTGCCGCCTGCTCTGCTGCCCTCTTTGGCTGCTCTGTCGTTGCCTGCGGCTGCTGTGGCTGTTGTGGCTGTTGTGCTTTCGGATGTTTTGCCTTCGGCTGCTGTGGCTGTTGTGGCTGTTGTGCTTTCGGATGTTTGGCCTTCGGCTGTTGTGGCTGCTGTGGTGTCATCCGTTTCTGCTCTGCTTTGCCCTGCTTTGCTTGTGCTGGCTGCTCTGCTTTCGGTGCGGCTTTTGGCGCCTCTGGCTTGACCTTCGACGTCGGAGGCATCTTCTTCACTGGTGGCGCCGCCCCGCTCGACTTCGAAGACAGATTCTGCGCATCCATTGTCACCTGAGCTTGATGGGCTCACGTCAGAGTCCCGTCAGAGTCACCATTCAGTACTGACATGCCTCAGGACATCCTTGCCGCCCCAGTAACTGCCGAGAGCCCGAGGCCCGAGAGCTCACCACTCACTCCTCAGTGTGCGTACCTGAGATTGGACTGACTCATCAAAAACAACCTGCAGCACTCATGCACTCAATGCAGACTCATGCACTCATGCACTTCAGGATATGTCCTTGCCGCCCGAGCTGCCGAGCTCGACTTCAGCGATGTGAGCTCACCACTTCCAAGCGCCAAGTCTACGTGGACCATTCAACACCGAAGGAAATGAATGCACGCTGCACTCACTGACAAAGTATTGAAGTACTCTGACATTCAGTAGGACGGTGGCATGCAGCTGAACATGTGTCATGTGTCATGTGGACATGAGGACATGAAGCTGATGCTGCTGATGCTGCTGGCACATGCGTCACATGTCACATGAGTCAGCAATGCACTTGCACTGCACTTGTCCATTGTCCACTGATGCTACATTGTCCACGGATGCTATGATTGGCTCGTACGGCGTACTGTACTTTTACATGACACTCAATAAGGCTTAATAAGGCTCGATCATGACCAACCACACAACCGTTCCTGCAACGTGACCCGACGTGGACTTGAACTGCGGCAGCAGCGATCAGGCATGCACTCACAGCGCATTTACTCAATCCACTTCAATCACTTCAGCACACGGCACACGACTAACCAACCGCAGCACGCAGGCTCCTGAAGGTGCACACGCTGAGCACCGGACCCATGGAAGAACTTGGTAATGTCCCGCCCTGCGCAGTCCTGCGGGGATCGGCATCGACAATTGGTCATGATAATTGATCATGGTGTGGCTCAGGTTTGCGGTTTGCAGCGGTGACTACAATCACTCATCTCTCCATCGTTCCATCTCTCCACACTCCACGCCTCTAAGTCCCTTCCAACGCACGGCGACACAAAGGACAGGCCAGCCTCCCACAGTTCTCGGTAACATTCGATGTCAGCACGATGCACTCACACAGCTTCTAGTCTAACAGTTCTAGCATCATCAGCGCGACTCACGACACACGCCTGGTAAGCGCCGGCCACCACGTGTCTGTTTTGCCTTCAGGAAGACAGTCTCGAAGATTCACCAGTAACTTCCTGTGCCGAGCACGGAATCTTTGAAACGAAGCATCCAATGCTGCAGCAAGTGCGTCTGCACAATCGCAATGCCAGTGCTTGGCACAAAGGGGGCACTGCACCGCTCTCGCCCCAGAGCCGGGAGACAAGTGCCGCTTGCAGGACCGGCAGTGATGACACTCCAACTCCTAGCGCAAGATCTGATTTTGCCTGATGCCTTGACGCATGCACTGGCACATGCCCACATGCCCTCATGAAGCATGATACCCTCATGACTCATGCACTGCGTGCGCTCATGAACTCATGAACTCATGGACTCGTGCAACTGACTGGTAGTTGGCAGCTGCATGTCGGCTCACCTGCTCACATGTCACATGTCTCACATGCTCTCATGTCTCGTGAAAGTCATGGCATGGTACTGGCGTGGCTACAGTACATGCACATGCAGCACATGCAGACAACATGCGGTCTGAACAAAACACATGGACATGGGTAACATGGACTCTTGCACTCATGCAGTTGGGTTGTCCTAGGCAGTCGAGTCCTGATCTTGATCAACAGCAGGTGCCAGGCGGGTGAGCATGCGGCTGCAGAAGTACATGTATTGAAGGCACTCTTGCGGCATCACATCTCGCTCTGCACTGGTCTTCTTGATCTTCTTCATCACCGCTCCTGTGTAGGGGATGAGCACATCGCAATGTGATGCGTCGCAGATGATCTCAGGCTGGCCCATTCCCGATGAGATACCAGTCCGGGACATGGAGGTGTCCGCCGTGGAATACAACACCCTGTTGTTTGCATCCAGGTTGACTTGCCTGGCTTTCCTCCCCGTTAAGCCATACGTGGGTGAGAAGTTCAACCAGTGTACAAACAGGAGTTCCGGAAGATCGACTGCATCACCCCACTTGCAGCGCACGCACCCACATCCCGCAACCTTTCCGGAACGCATGGCAACCAAACTCAGAGAGCGGTCACAGCCCAACTCATGCTCCACTTGCAGAGCATGTACATCACAAAGGGCACGCAGGGTTCGAAGACAGCCAGAAGCCCAAGCCTGTGAAACGCCGGCTGCACTGGTTCGAAGTCAACGCAAACATGAGAAGAAGAACCCTGTCCATGTCCATCTGCATCTCGGCCTCCAGTGGACTCATCACTGTCACTGCTCACAGCTTCGTCAGCAATCTCGTTCGGGTCTGCAGCCACAAACACAGCTGAAGTTGAATCACCGACGCCCTCGATGACTGGTTCACCGGTTGCCGATGCTTTTTTGGATGCGTTCCGCTGTCGGACCAGCAGCAGCAACGCTTCTTCCTGCATTTCGGCAGCAGGTGCAGTGCAACCAGCGTCCGCCACTTGCTCAGCGATTCGGGCCACAGCATCTAATGATGGCTTGGAGGATGAGGATGCACCAGGCCCCATAGACACTGATAGCTCCGAGAGTGCCTGTGCTGCAGAGGCTGCACTGGCCCCATCATCACAAGCCTCTGCATCCTCCTCGGAGCTATCAGTGTCATATGGCTCTGGGGCATCCGCTGCCATGTACCGGGCATCAGCGTCACCTTCACCTTCCGCGATGGCTGGTGTGGACCGCCCCGGCTTTGGCTGCCGCGGCCTGGGTGCCGGTGCCGGGCAGCCTTTCATGATGATCGAAGTCATCTCAAACAGGACCGTGGACTCTGCCATAACTTTGTGAACTGGCAACCATCCAGGATTCCCGAAGAGCTGATGACACCCACTACGATTCAAGAATGCCGCCCTTACCGTCACCGTCTTGGATTGCTTGGAGCAAGAATCGAAGTACTTCGCAAACAAAAGAGTCGATTCGACCGTGTCTGCATACCTAGAGCCGTCATGTTCCCACCGCAAGCAGTCTGTCACACCAATGCCATCCACCTGCCGCCGACACTTGCTCAGCCTAGTGAACGAAACACTGTGGGAGAAGTAGTCGGCTGCCAAGTAGAATGCCATGTCCTGACCATCTGGTGTTGGAAGAATTGCGACCCCAAATCCTGCCAAGGAATGTTCTTGCTTGATTTTGGCCGCAGCTGCCTTCTTGGACTTGCGCCTGCCACCGCCCGTCGTCCACTTCCATCCAAGATTGTATGACTTGGCCCACGTGATGGCTTCGGTTGACAAAACCTGCGCGAGATCCTGGCCGTCGACGGGCTCCGGATGCATGATGTCACAAAGCGGTTCTGGCTGTCGGCTACCTTGATCTGCCACTGTGAACGAGGCGGGCAATGCAGGTGCCCATCGCGAAGAGTCTGCGAGGATTGGCAAACTCAAAGTTGCAAAGCCTGTCAGCTCTGCAACTTCTCGTTCCACCAGTGCCTTGACGACGGACCACTTCTTGCGACATCCTGTGGTGCCGTCTGCCTGGCCGATCATCTTTTTGATGCAAAGCCGACTGCTCAACAGCTCCAAGGTGATGTTGGGGCAGCGGCGACCCAACAGCTTAACTATGCTGTTGAGTCCCTCAATGGCTTGAGTCTCGGCATAGAAGAACCGCGACATCATGACCATGATACTCCACAACAAGCTGCCGTGATCCGCAGTGTGATCTCTTTCAAAACGGCCAGTCCGACTCAGCCTCACGAGCTCTTGCTTGCAAAGTGCTCTGATACTGTTGGTGGCAGCATCCAAGTTTCCCAGCTTGAGAACTTCATCTGCTACTCCTGAGATTGCTTACGTGCAGACATGCATGCATGTGAGTGTGGCAGCACATCCAAGCCATGTAACATTTAACATTACATGAGTACACATGACGCATGGCATGGGATGCACGACGACACCAAATGCAAGCAGCATGACTCGACTACATCATGATGACTCATCATGACATGACTGATGATCACATGATTTCATGATATGACATCATGACATCATGCACAGCATGCTCGACGCAGTCCTCGACGCTTTTCACAATACTTCAAGGGGTTCTCTTTCAGCAGCCACAGCAATTTCATCGGATACCTGTCTGTGCACCAAGACGTGTCAAGACATATCGCGGCGTAGCAACCAGCACACACCAAATTGTTCACATGCTAACTCAACGAAACGATTCCTTAAGTTCTGGCGAGATGCTGTTGCAAAGGATAATATATCCGACGCTGAAAGGACGCCCACTGCTGCATGCAAACCTTCCTAGCCATCAGGTCTAGTGACTGCAAACCGTCTGGGTCCTGCTGAAACAGCTTGTCGCAACCTGACAGCTCGATAGCTCTTGCTATGATTTCGTTCATGTTGTTGTGCAAAGTCCTGTACTCATCATGGAGAGCATCCAGCTTGCCAGTCACCAGTTGTTTCATGACTTCGCCAGCATTGTTGCGCTGTGCTTGTTGCTGCACAAAGTGGAAGAAATGTCTCATAGGCCCACGGAAACAACGGCAGATTGTCAACAGGAACCAAAAGATAGGGTGACTGATCGCGTCTACCGTTCCCTTGTACCATTTGGATAGCTTCAGCCGGTATGCAGCAGTATCGTCTGCGGCGTCTGGATTCAAGTCCATGTTGGTGTCACCTTGGCTGTTGCCGGTTGAACCCGTTGAACCCTCAAAGGTTTTCTGTCGTTGAAGCCTGTGACCTGTTATCAGTCCTAGTCCTACTCACGTGCCTATGCCTGTGCCCTGTATGTTGGCGGGCTGCGTGATTCGGGTGCTGCCGTGTCAGCTCGCATGTGCTTGCTGAGCGCTGCGAGAAGGACCGGCACAACTCGGTCCTTCCCACGCAAGAGTAGGAAGTCCTCTGCGCTTTCGATGGAGCCCCAACGTCCACTGACTACCGACAGGGGATACCGTCGCCCGAGTTTCAAGGTATCAAGGTCCGAGTCCTTGAACGCCTGATCCCAGGACATCATGATTTCCGCCGCCTTCTCCCGCCAACAGTTGACGTCTTTGCTGACGGACCCGAAATACTTCGTGAAACCAGCTAGCACCTGTTTGCTGAACAATGCGTTGAGCATCTCGTCAACGAGCTCAAGGCCATTTTTCACGCTGGCGTTGAACATGTGCAGGTAACATATTCCTGGTAAATAGATGAGGTTGGGGCATCCAGCTGCAGTGATGGCTTCGCTAGTGCAGCGTTTTCGACAGGACTGGTCCGAGCCCTTGTCCGTGACATCCATGTACATGAACACATGACACCGCGATATGGAAGGATGCCTGGGTTGCTGCACTGAGTCACAGGCCACATGCCTACTGTAGTCTACTGAAGCAGTTAAGAGTTTCGGCTACTGAAACCGCAACCCCGCACAAACCATGCCCTCCAGTGGTGCTGAGTTCAGTTTGAGAAGCTCTTTTCGCAGCTCATTGACGACCTCCAACAGACTTCATCTGCTTTTCGACGAGGCCGTTGCATGATTCGGCGGTCTTTCCTGCTACGACTTGTGTGTCCGACCTTAAGTGAACATCAGTGAACCACAACCCCTCAGACAATTACTGGCATGTCAGGCGGCATGTCATGTCAAATCACAGAAACAACACTGGGCACAGGACAAACACCGGCGACAATGAATAGCCTTATCGGCGTCGAACTTGCGAACAGCAGCGAAGTCTTCGACCCAGGCAAAGTCAACATCGAGAACATGAAGCTTCTCTCTCTTCCAGATGGAGCTGTTGGTTGCATCACATCTCATGGAAATCGCTGACAGCCGCCACTCGTGCTCCATTTTCGGATGGATCTCGCCAAACTCCACATCTTCTTCACCATGCTGCGACGAGTTCACAACCGACACACAAGTTGACCTCATCTTGCACAGCAGTGCCGCTGCTGTCTTGAGCTCTGACCTCGTGACACGCTGCTGGCTCACGTCTGTCAGGATCGTAGCTCCGAAGTCAGCGGCCGCGATGTTGGAGAGGTTTCGTCGCACACCGATGGCAAATGCACTCTGCACTGACATTCGTTTGCCAGTTTTGCCTATGGGCACGATCTCAAGGCTTGACTTCCTAGCCTGTTCTTCGTCCAGCACTTTTTGCTTTTTCTTGATGATGCTCTCCTGTCGCTGGTTGATCCGCTTCAGCATTCTGATCTGCTTTGCTTGCTCCTGGCACTTTGCAAGATGCTGTTGCAGTGCAGCCGATGCTTTGAAAGCAACAAATGCGCATTGTTGCGGTGGCATGTTTTCGTAGTCTTGGCGACGTAGCTCTTTCAGTGCTGTTGCTGTCCAGCGTCTGGGGTTGTTGTGGTGGATGTTGTCAAACGGAACAACCGCCTGCTGCGACTGTTGCTGTGGATCCTGTAAGCTTTGCGAACCTTGCGAATCCTGAAACCTGACCAGCGCCAAGTCTGCCAGCGGTTCTCGGCCGTTGTTGCTGTTGTTGCTTCCACTACCACCGGCACTCAATGAATCCGATCGCACCTCCAAGTCATCCAAGTCCAAGTCAAGATCAATGCTCGAGCCGCCGCGGCCCAGGCTGTCAGCACCGACGCTGCCACGATCGCCCGCAGACGCAGATTCACTTCCGCCACTTCCGCCAAAGTTGACTAGGCCTAACATGCTGTCAGCATCCTCGTCGTCATCCACCACGACGCATGATGTACGCATGCCCTTCGCCTGTCCAGGGGCATTGTCCCGGCACATGAACGGCAGATGCAGCCGAGCGAGTACCGATTGTGCTTGGGAGTGCTCAATGAAGACATGTAGATGTTTCTGAGGTAGCAATGGTGCCTGGGCACATGCCAACCACCGAACACAGAACGCACCGACCATGATCATGCTCGTGCATGTGACGTGCTGATAGATAACCATGTGCCATGTGCACATGACACTTCATGCCTAATCCTCTCTGACCTGAACTCACGTGATCACATGGAGCATGAGATGATATGAACTCGTGCGCAGACGCACACGTGGGATCGTGCACTCATGGGTGTATGCTCTCATGCAGACAATGGCTCAGATGCTCTCATGCAGACATGGGCTCATGCACTCATGGGTCAGTATGCACTCATGGGCTTATGCACTCATGGGCTCATGCACTCGTGCACTCATGGGCTCATGCACTCATGCACTCATGAACTCATGGGCTCATGCACTCATGGGCTCATGCACTCTTGGGCTCACGGGCTCATGCACTCATGGGCTCATGCACTCATGGGCTGTTGCACTCATGCACTCATGGGCTCATGCACTCATGGGCTCATGCACTCATGCACTCATGGGCTCATGCACTCATGGGCTCATGCACTCATGGGCTCATGCACTCATGGGCTCATGCACTCATGGGCTCACGCACTCATGGGCTCATGCACTCATGGGTTCATGCACTCATGGGCTCATGCACTCATGGGCTCATGCACTCATGGACTCATGCACTCATGAACTCAACACTCATGAACTCATGCACTCATGGACACATGCTCTCGTGGAAATGAAATGAACCCATGAACTAAAGTGCAACTCAGTCTCTTCGGCAAGTGCCCGCCGCACTTCACTGGTGGCCGCTCGCCTGTCAGTGCCACGGCCCGTCAGCAGCTCCACCAGAAGTTCGCTGAACCGACCCCGTGGGTAGACACGACCCGTGCCGTCGACGTCCACACCACGGGCAGCAGAAAACACTGCCAATCTCCGAGCCACCAACGCATCCATTGCTAGTGTCTGGTCGTCTTACATGCAAAAAGAAATGAGTGTGTGATTCTTCGTGATCCTCAACCAGCTCACTTTCACCGAAGCATTTCAGTCAAACCAGAAGTAAATTATTGTGCTGTGCTGCACCTAGAAACATGCGAGCTAACCACCACATGTGTTCGAGAAGCAAACTTGGCAGCCAAAGCAACAACAGATCATGAAGATATGCCCTCATGAAACACATGAACCGAGAACCCAAAAATGATACCTGATGCAACCTCCATGGTAAAAAAACAATGAGCAACGCAGCCGCACACTATGTTTGATAAAACCCCGACACTAAAAAAACAATGTGCTTGCAGCAAGAACACACTAAACAATGATGTGCTCCCTCACAAAGATATGTGTTTTTCAACATGTACCCGTGCAGCAAAACACTCCGGTGTGATTGAAAACCCTAAGTCATACTGTCTGCTCCACAAGAAAGTACTACACGACCGGTACCATCAGAACTCATCCCCGGCAGGTGTTCTTAGCTAGCCTTGAACCAGCCAACCCCTCGGATGGATGTTATCACCCTAAACCCCTAAACCCTTTAACCCTATACCCTAAACCCATAAACCCTAAACCCCAAACCCTTAAACCCTGAACCCTAACGTCCTAAGCCCCAAGCGGCGTGAGAGGCGGCGAAGACCCGATTCGCTCCCAATCGGATCTTGCACGACCGCCATGCAGCGAAACTAGAGACTAGGTGGCAGTTTGGAAACCTTTTTAGTTCCCCTTTATGGTTCCCATAGAGGTGCCTATTCATAAATACTTTTCAGAGCCCCAAAAACTACAACCCAGGAGAGCATGCTCAAGGACTGCGTTTCGAGTTTGCGGGCTTTTGGGTTTAGGGTAAAGTTTAGGGCTCATGGGATTTATAGGCTCGGGCGTTGAAGGGTTCAGGGTGTCGGTTTAGGGGATTCGGAAGCTGAGTCATCGTTTTGAGTGGTCTTCACCGCATGGATCTAACTGTTGATCGGTGTGAAGGTTCCTTCGTTTATGGCTTCCGATCTCAGGCAAGCCGAGCTAAGGAGGTTCGTGGCTTTTAGGTTTGGGATGGTTATATGGTTTACTGTTTTTTGGAGTACCATACTTTACTACAATTTTTTCGGGACCTGTTACTCAAAGGGAAGCATTATGAAATAAAAGTCTATACCTTTTTCTCCCTGGTTACTTCAAACCCAGTTTAGGGTTCGGGAGTTGACGCGAGTTATGAGTTCAGATGACACAAATGCCAACCCACAAGAGTAGACCGAGCTCATAATGTTTCTGTGCGCGCAAAAACCGAAGTCTTGAACCATAGAACCCGAAACCTCAAACACCCAGTTCGCGTGCCTTTAGGGACACGGTTTTCCCACCCTATGTACCGTACCCGCAAATCCTCCGAACGAACCCTAAAACCCCAAACCCCCAAGCTGGTTCGGCTTGGAGCCGTCGGCTCGAGTTCAGGGTGCGAGGGCTTCGGCCTTGGGGGCTTGATTTTGGGGCCGAAGAAATCCCCAATACTATTTTGAGGGGCCCTGGGGTATAAAATTTTGGGGCCGAAGATTATTTAGAAATACTATTTTGAGGGTTTCTTATTGTACCTCTAGTATAATATGCCCCGAAACCCTATTCTAATTACTAAGGCCCCTACAGTAGGTTCGGGGTTTAGAAAGGCAGGACCACGCCCTTCAACTAAGTCGTTGAGTGGACTATGTTTGTGCCTTTGGGGGTTCAAATGATCATCTAACTAACCCAAACAAGTATATATATATATATATATATATACAGTAAACACATTCTCCAGTGGGTCACTGAACAGCCTGGTTAAGCACCCGTCGGAGAGGTTCCTATCTTGCGAGACATAGAGGTCGGAAGACTTACTAATAGTCTTCCCACACAGTGCTTGTGTATCTGTGTTGCTATACTCTCTCAATGCACTTCAGCAGACCCCGAAACCCTGTGCCTAAGCCCTAAGCCCGTGGCAACCCGTGGCAACTGTTAGGCTCCGTGTGCTAGGTCAGACACTTGGGATGGGTTCAGAGTTTCAGTTTCAGTCGGTGCTCTTCGGTTCGGGAGTAGTGAGAGAGGGTGAAGGGTTTAGGGTTTAGGGTCCTATGCTCCGAGCATGTTGCAGGAGCTTTCAACGGTTCCAGGCATGCTGAAGCTGAAGAAGGAAGTTGTTCTGCACAGGACGACTGCTGCGGAGCGGAAAGCTTCATTGCAGCAGTTTGCCCGGAATCGCTCACGGAATGGAGAGTGAAAGAGCGACTGTCACGACGACACGCTGGCGGATGGTTGCAGATTAAAGATATGCCCAGAAGCGTCTGCATGTATGCACAAAACCCTAAACCCACACCGCAATTACTCCATCGCTACAGACTTAAGCTCGTAATTTGATTGGGACCTCCGCAGCAGCCATTCGCTTTTTCGCTGCTGCTGTGGGAAGGTGTTTAGTCCCACGGCAATGGCTATAAATTCACGCAGATGCAATGGGCGAACGTCGTGGCAAGGTCCCTTCTTGAGGAGGCTGCTAGCTGAAAGGTCCCGCAAGGCTAGAATTTCCATCCTCATGCGCAGGACAGCCCAAACTCCTTGCTGGCTATGGTTTTGAGCCCACAAGCCTTCAGGAAAAAGCTCTTTAGCTCAAAGCTTCTCTCCTCGAGAAAAGGTTACTCCTGTCACGAGCCCCCACCGCGCTGCGAATCACTCGCTCCTTTTTTTGCATTTGTGGCACCTGACTGGAGTAAATCCCGGAAGCCCGAAAACCTTAAATCCGAAACCTCTAAAACCTCTACAGTAGAAGCCTAAAGGTTGGAATCCCTATAGCCTCAATCCTTAAGAGTAATGTATAGGGAATCCCAGCACTATTTGGCCCTATTCCGGTTTCCAACTTTATGGGGTTTACACCCTAACCCCTAAAGCCTAAACCCTAACACCCCTAAACCCCCCAAGCCCTAAACCCTAAAGCCCTAAAGCCCTAACCCGAAATCCGAAGCCGACTCCAAGCCCCGAAACCCTAACCTCTAAGCCACTCTAAACCCTAATCCTTACCTTAACCCCAAGTAAAAGGGCTCCAAATTGGGGTTATGGTACTTATAAGTCTCTAAACTATCTAGTTACTAAGTCCCCCGACCTTCCAAGTACCTTAACCCTGAAGGACCTACCCTTTTAAGGACTTATATAAAGAAATCATGTTAGGGAACCCTAAGAAGGTAGGTTCCTTAGGGTCCAGGTAAAGGAACACCCAAAAGGAATTTACAGAAGCCCTTAAAGGTACCCTTAAAGATCCCCTAAAGGAGCCCATTATAGATCCCTTAGAGGAATCCCCTAAATCCTAACCCGAAGTTCCACAGTCCCAAAACCCTCAAACCTGCAACCAAACTAATCGGTTTTAGAGTCTAGGGTTCAGAGTTTAGAGTTTAGAGTTGAGGGTTTAGGGTTTAGAGTTGAGGGTTTAGGGTTAATAATTTGGATCCCCAATACCCAACCTTTAAACTTTTTGGGCTCTTATAAAGTTGTTGGGATTTTGGGATTTATGGTTCCAGAGTTTACCTTCAATCTCGGAATCAAGACCTTCTACTTGTAGACCCCAACACCCTAAAGTCCCAAAGCCCGAGCCCTCGACGGCCCCAAATGCAGAAGCCCCCCACAGTAAGTCTTAGTCAGCCTTAGTCCATGACTTACAGGACAGGGGTACTTCGTGGGCAGGCTGAAGTAAGGGTTTAAGATGCCTCAAGATAAACCCAGCTTCGGTAGTATTACGTTTAGTCTCCACCTTCAACCAGGACATAATGCCGGAGCCTGACTGGTTCCTTGCACAACCCGAAATGCAGTGCCAGTCTGCGAGTCTAGGCCACACAAACCAGGAACTCTGAACCCTAAACCCCTTACCTCAAGCCCGAAACCCTAAACCCGCTAATTGGCCTATGCCCCAAATCCTAAACGGCCCTAAACCGAAACCTCAAGCCCGAAACCCTAAGCCCGAAACCCTGAACAGTTTGTTTCTTGGGCGCCAAAGTCCAAGAGCTGGGTTGTCCTCCGAAGGCTCAGCCTCGATGGGCCTTAGGGGTTTCGGGTTCGGTTTAGGGTTTAGGGTTTAGGGGTTTAGGGTTTGGGGTTTAGGGTTTAGGGTTTAGGGTTTAGGGGTTTAG